TCGGAAGAGTTCTGAAGGTCATACCAGGCAAGGACGAGCATGTCAGAGTAGTTGACGTACGTACCTCAAAGGGCATTATTCGCAGACCTATCCACAAACTAGCGATTTTACCTATTGAAAGTCCTTTCAAGGAGGCCGGGATGTTGGGTAACAATACTGTTGGAGCAAAATAAAACATCTAACTTGACTGCTTCACCCTGTATGTAGATTTTATTCATTTCGTAAATTCGCTGCACTTGCAGAGAGCAAAACGACCGTTTTGCGCTTTGTTTTACTGTTGTGTTGTTGAAGAATTGAGAGTTGGTTCCCGTTTCAGCTGACACATTTTTTACTGTGCGCGAAGTCTACGGATGTCTTTTTTAGTGAAAAGTAAATGATCAAATTTTTTGTTAATAAATTACATATTTTACATTTGTTAAAATTACAAAAATTATATACTCTAAATTCATTGTATTTAAATTATAAAATTTAAATTTCCAATTTAAAACAATTATACATTTTACATACATTTTACATTTTACATTTGGTGAAAATAATTTAATAAAAATTAAATTTACAATTGAATTCAAACATTTCGTTTGTTTTACTATTCGAGAATAAACATTGGCGACCGTGACAGGACACGTGTCCTAGCAATAAAATGAATACCGATAATGATAACAATCCAACCAGCAATGCAAGCAATAATGCAGGTAATACGGCTAATAATGCAGTCAATTCAAGTAATAATTCTGCTATTAATTTAAATAATTTAAAGCAGCAGCGATCAACAGTGAAAAGGAACATGACCTTGATTCGATCTAAAATAGAGAAGGAGAAGGACGAAGTAGATCCAACAATTCTGGAATGTCGACTACAAATTCTAGAATCTCATTTCAAACAATTATGCCATATTCAATCACAAATCGAACAATTAAATCCAGAAGACAATGCCAGAGCTGATTTTGAAGAGCTATTTGTTGTTTCAAAGGCGAAAATACTTAATTTGCTTAAAGAAACTCGAAGTAATACTTCATTTGAAAATAGTGTGATGAATACAACATCCAATTTCAGTGTTGCCCACAATTCTCGTTTACCATTTTTAAAATTGCCAAAATTTGACGGAAAATATGCCAACTACAATCGATTTATCGCAGCATTTAAGCATTTGGTGCACAATGACCCAACCTTATCTAATGTCGATAAATTCAATTATTTATTATCATGTCTTACAGGCCCTGCACTTGCAGTCATCGAAGCCTTTCAAATTACAGCAGAAAATTATCCAAAGGCTATGGCACGATTGAAAGAACGTTTCGATAATAAGGTATTAATATTCTTAGACCACATTACTGAACTCTTTAATATTCCAGGAATGATTAAAGCTGATCCGGCTTCTCTACGTAAACTAATTGATACTGTTGCAGCATTAAGATCATCATTGCTTTCATTGGGCTCAGAAGTAGAAGTTATGAATGCTATTATAATTTATATAGTCCTAAGTAAAGTTGATGCAGAAACAAAATTTGCACATGACGAAAAGCAAGAATTTGAAAAAATGCCTTCTTGGGACGAATGTTATAAGATGTTAAGTCGGCGTTGTCAATTTCTTGAAGGACGAGCTACGTCTATAAACGCTTCCGAAAATAAATCACGAAATAATTTTAATACTGTACCAAGAAGAGTATTACAAACGCATCTCAGTGTCAAATCTGGTTGTGAATTTTGCAAGGCAGCTGACCACTTTTTAGGAAAATGCCCTTCGTTTTTAGCAACGCCAGTTTCTCAGCGCTTTGACTTTGTTAAGAAAGCAGGCTGCTGCATAAATTGTTTGACAAAAGGGCACTCCGTTACAAAATGTAAATCCGAATCACGTTGCAGAATTTGTCGTTCATCACGTCATACTCATTTACACAAATTTACAAATACTTTGATTAATTCATCAATTAGTTGTCCAAGTATCGCAATTCAAGAGCAAGGACAGCTACAACAATCTAACAGCGCTGTAACATCATTATTAATTCAGTCTTCAAAAAGAGCAATTATTCCTACTGTTCTGGTATTTGTGATGGACAAGTTTGGGCTTAAGCATCCAGTGCGCGCACTTTTAGATTCCTGTTCCGAATTAAACTTTATTACAGAGGAAACAGCAAAATTATTGCATTTAAAATGGCAATACTCTACTCAAGAAGTCTTTGGTATTTCCAATTTGAAAACACTTTTCAATTATAATGTATATGCAACTGCGCATTCTCGCACGTCCGATTTTGAATGGTCTTCTCAGTTTACAATTACGAAATCTATTTCCTCCGTAAATCATAGAGCCTACATTAATGTAACAAAATTTCAAATTCCTACTAATATTCAATTAGCGGATCCATTATTCGATAGACCTTGTCAAGTGGACATGCTGATTGGTGCAGAAATCTTCTTTGATTTATTACTTGATGGCAAAATTTCGTTAGGCAAAGACATGCCATATTTAATTAACACTGTTTTCGGTTGGGTAGCAGGAGGTACGCATAGTACAGACTTATGTTCTAAATCATATGAATGCAACTTTACTCAAAAATCACACAATGAAGATACATTCCTTGAACGATTTTGGGAATTAGAAGAATACAAAATAAGCTCCCCGCAACTCAGCGCAGAGGAGAAAAATTGCGAACAGCACTACATTAAGACCGAAAAGTTTTCGGAAATTCTCATTTAAAATTCGCGCGCTGTATATT